CCCCTTGGCACTCCAGGCAGGTCCAGCGTCACCATCTGCACCCCCTCCTTCCTGCTCCCCGAGCCTGGGCCGGGCCAGGGGCTGGCGGATGGGACAGCGCTCTCCTCTCTCAGGCTCCTTTGGGATGAGGCCCATGGAGGACCCGACGGCCTCCCCGGGACCCCTCCAGGGGGCATCTGCCCGGGCTGGTGTGTGAAGCTCGGGCGGCTTACAGGGAGAAGGCGAGGGCCCAGGGGTGTCCGGGTGGTGCGTGCCCCCAGGCGGGGGAAGAGCAGCCGGGGAGGGAGGGGAGCAGAGTAAATGGGGGTGCGGAGGGGGCCGGTGCCAGGGGGAGGCACTGTGTTGGAGGCTTAGTGCCCAGGAGCGCCCCCTCTCCCAGATGTCACCCAGGAGCCCCTCCCTCCGTGGACAGAGTGTGTCCTCCCCGGGCGGCCATGGGGGCAACGCCGTGTCCCTGGGGCCTGCCCCCAACCCACCTTCCTTTGGGGGTTGTGCTGAGGGTCAGATCTCCAGATGTGAGAAGACACATCCGGGTGCCGTGGGCGGGGATGGAGCTGCCAGCAGGGGCCCAGGGGCCAGGGCTATTGCGGGGCAGCACGGGCCAGCAGCTGGAACCCGAGCTCCTACTGTGCGCCGGGCTCAGCGCGCCCAGACCCCCGACCCCTCGCAGCCCCTGTGGGACGGGCTGTGGAGCCCTCGTTACCGGCGGCAGAAGCGAGGCTAGGAGGGGGAAGGCAACGTGTGCGGGTCACACGGCCTGCTTGGCCTACCTCCGAGTCTCAGCCTGGGCCGCTCACGCACAGCCTCCCTCCCGCAGAGAGTCCGGGCTCTCCTGGCCCAGGGACCCCAGCGGCCTGGTCTCCCTGCGTCAAGGAAGGAAGAAGAAATACCCTCCTCCCGGCGGTGACAGCTACGGGGCCACCGAGCGCCCCTCAACCCGCCATCCACGGGCTCATCACTATGGGGGCCTCCTGGGCCCAGGCCCCTGGCCCACGCGTGGTCCGCTTAGAGGCCGCAGCTGGGGCCTGGCCCAGGTGGGCCCGGGGCAGCCCCTGCCCTTGCAGAGAGGCAGGCCTGGGCTGTCACAGACCAGGGGGAGCCCCCTCCGCTGTACCACCCACCCGCAGTGGCCGGCCAAGGCCAGGAGCAAGGCCGTGCCCAGCTCCTGCGGTTATCGGGGGAGGGCGCGTGGGACCAGCCTGGGGCGCCGGCTCCGGGCACAGATGGTTCTCATTGCTGCCGCCTCTTCCTCGGAAAAACAAAGCCGCCGGCCAGGCCGCGCTTTATCTTGGGTTGGTTTCGATCCCTCTCCCTCTTCCTTGGCCCGAGCCAGCGGCCTGTGGGCTGCGTCCTGCCAGGGTCTGGCTGGGAGGCTGTGGCATTTTTTCTGACCTGGGGCCGCTCTCCGGGGAGGGGCTGGACGCTGGGCGGAGGGGGGGTGAGCGGGGAGTAGCCCATTTCCCGCTGCTGGATTGTCTCCATCCCGCTTGGTCACGGCGGCTCTCCAGGGTCTGGGGTCTCCTGGCTGCACCAGGAAGGTTGGGAACGAGGGAGCAGGACAGAACCAGAAGGTGAGATCCACATGTGCCCGTGGTGCCCAGGAGCTGGCCCTGCCCCCGACTGG